ATAGAACAAAATTATATATTCCAATGGTCCTGTTTGTTATTGATCTCTGCCAAAAAGACTAATGAGGATTGATTGGAATTAGTAGTTATCAACACAATATATATATATATACATAATACTTATACGTACGTGGTGAAATCAATTAACACAGATCCACAATTAATAATTAACATGTGATCTGTCACTGTAACGAAGAATTGAATTGAAAAACTTGAATTCGAGTGCCGTCTAGCCTATTTCTCTCTTTCTCTCTGTCTCTCCCTAATCGAGAGGTTACACACACACACACACTTCGTATGCCTTCTACATATTTCATTTTCACTGTAGACTGTGGTTTGATTGATTTACAAAGTAAGAAACAATGATTTGAAATCTACCAAGTGAAATACTGTAAACACACATTATTATTATGATCGATAAATTCCCTAAAGCCTTCAGCAGTACATCTCCACTTTTATTCAGTGTTCTTTGAAGTCCTCTTCAACTGGCTTCACAATTCAAAGGTGATGTTGCAGCGGAAATTCTCAGAAACCGCCTTTCTAAATGTCTGAAGAAGACATTTCCAACAGCCACTCTACGTATCACATTCTCCTGCAGACAGTTAATCCAGTCTAACGCTAAGGACAAGATACCGCTTTTGGCCACTTCAATGTGTATTTATCAATTTACTTGCTCGTGTGGAGCAAAGTATATCGGCCGTACGCAACGTCAAGTCCACAAACGTATTCTGGAACACTGCCCAGCTTGGTTATCCAGCCAGAGGAGAAAAGAAGAATAGCAACAGCTCGATCCTCGAACACCTTGTCATCTCTGGACATCGAGCACCCCCACTAGCATGAATGCTTCACAGTGTTACACAGAGTCCCTCAATATCGTACAAAGGGACTTCGGATACGCCATCTGTACATAGCTGAAGCATTAGCTATTCGAGATCTGAAACCGGACCTCTGCATCCAAAAACGATACATACATTCTCTTGCCCTACCATGGCCAGAGTAAAGTTCTTATCACAATTTTGCTTCTTTCTTTTATTATGTAAGTTCACTATTATTATTATTTTATTTTATTAATACTTTTATTATCATTATTATTCCCATCATCCACATTTTATTACCACTCTATTACTGTTTATTAATAACATTGCTTTTCATACATATTTTATACAAAAACACTTTATAGCCTTTCCACTAGTTCCTGTCCATTTTACACGAGCTTATTGATTAGTCATTATCTCACACTTATTACGTCATGCCAACTTCTGTCTACTTTCTAACTTACAATTAGTCATCCCTTCTTACACCTTACATTATGTAATACACTTTTCCAAGGACAAAGTTTACCAGTATCTGATTGGTCTAAAGATTTCTTTGTTAATTATAATTACGATTGTACAGCTCATGAAAATGAATCGTCGAAAAGAAAATTTTCTTCGCTGTTTGTGCCTTTTTCTTATGGCTTCACAATAGCCCCTAAGCTCTCATTATCCTCCTCTTGATGCGGTCTCCTCCATGTTACCGTCAAACATACGCCCAACTCGTTGTCTCTCATTCGCGTCGCCCTCGAATAACCTGTAACACGTCACTCGTCTTTTCAGAGTGTGTCTGTGATCCATCTCAGTTTCCTTCTGCCTATTTTTATTCGGTGATAGTTGTCTATTTTAGCTGGTCATTTGATCTTCAGTATGGGGGGCAGAGAAGGCAACTTTTGATAGAAGTTTGCAGTAGACAATTTTGTTGGAAATGCTTTCGGTGACACTCGACTCGAAGTCCTTGAATGCCATAGATTTCCATACTCATTTCATAGAATAATGAATATTTGTTTTGCTTTTCCAATTCTACCCCTTTAACAATCTCATCGTACTACCACCATCTGTAGTTGAAAGTCACCTCGTTGGTTATCTATCGGTGGTTATCTACATCCGTTTTCTCTAATGCTCCCTTGAATTCCTCCTATGATTTTGCCGCCAACTTCTTAGTTTCTGCTAGTATATATCTTTGAAAATGGAATGAAATAAACTGTGAGTGGTCAATTGTGGAATGAATTTCGCAGGAAAGTACATCATAGACCAAGTTCCTTTTTTTTTACTTTGGGGAAGAGGAATACAATGAAACTACAAGAAACGGAAATATGTGTCACACAAATAGAATAATTTCAGAAAGGAAGACTGAAAATTTTCAAAATCAAACACACACAATCTCCAACCTTTTGATTCGTAGCATCCCGACTCCCCCCCCCCAGTTGAAGACAGTCTACATCTACTACTTTACATCGCCTAAATCAACAGACGAAAAAACTTCTTAATCCAAAGATGCCCTGCTTTCAAATACGAATCATAACGACTTTATATTCTGATGGAAATGAGATAAAATCAATAAGCAATATACGAAAATAAAATTGATGGAATAGGATCCCGAAATGGGAAACAGAAGAAGGAGGAGGCGGGGATAAACACTGTTCAACATAAACGTCAAAAAGATAACAGTTATTCAATAACCATGTATGTGACTATGCAATGAGCCATATATATAAAATATATATATATTGAGACGGTGAACATCACACTATCTGGCTACTTAAAGATAAACACGTCAGAGAGGAGTTAGAAACCACTTGAAAATCGAATACCTAACTCAATGAAACACACTACTGATGATTTTGAAGTGATTTGGTGAGTAATTACTAGTAGTAGAATCCAGAATGTGAGTGAGTGTTCTCACACGCAGACGAGTCCTAAATAGGACGAAATGTGCACCCTAGATTCAACTGCTAGTCATTATCTACTAAATTACTTAGACATAGTCGAAGCATGCGCCCAAGAAGCCGACATGTCAACAGAGGCTGAACTCCGGTTGAATCAATCAAGGGGACAGGAAAAATTGAATTAAATAACACCACTGATGAGGGAGTGTTTACTTTGCCTAGTGCGAAATTCTTTGACCCTTCTCAAGCTATCTTTGCTGTTGACATCGCTAACTTTTGACCGACTGAATTTAAATATAGAGCTTTGCAAAGAAGTGCAGCGCGCTTCAAGTTGTCACACTCCATTTAGTACACAAAGGTAAACAAAAGAGAGAAAGTAGAGGTTCAAAAGAACTATATTGAACAGAAATGAACTGGAGAAAGAATAGTGACATGAAAAAAACACTAGAGAAAACAGAGGTGATGAAGATTCCTGAACAACAACAATAGACAACAGATAACAATCAGCATAAATGGAAGGAACCTGAAAGAAACAACCTCCTTTAACGACCGACCTGGGAAGCATCGATTCAACTACAGGCGGATGGAACTGACGAGTATTTCAAAACAGCGAGGATCGGGAAAGCAAGACAAGCTTTCACTACTCTCAAGTCTGTGTGGAGGTCAACAGCAATCAGCATCCAAACATCGTAGTGGCATAATAAACTTAACATATATTCAGCTCAGACAGTTCAATATATGCTAATCACTGCCTTCACGCATCGACGGTGTTCCTCGCAATAAAGTAAGAGGGTGAATGCGAGCACCTAGAGCTTACAACCAGACTGGTGGATATTTCGATCTATCTAAGAGAGCTGGGAAACCTTCATTCCAAGCCTATGGTGTACATGGGCGCTAGAAACCAATTGGACTGAATGGCGTATGAACCAAATTTGCTTACCGGAAACTATGGGAACACATAGCTCCCAACGCTGATCCACTGCCCTTTCGACCAAATTTCAAGTGAAAAGCTTGTGAGGGGTAGCCCCTTAAGACCATTACGTGATTCAGTTGGGGGCGTTCGGCCAGTATTCCAGCTCTTGCACACACTATGCGACAGTTTTGCGTGACGCATCTCTTGGTGTTCTTATAAGGTGAAAAGTCTATGTTTCAATGAATAAGTACATAATAACGTATCTGTATGTCTGTTTTCAACATAGAACTTTGCACAGATGTGCAGCTGTTCAAGTCGCCACACTCCCTCCTTGTAGCACACAAACCAACAGAAGAAAGTAGAAGAAATGCATAATAGAGACAGTAAACAGGGATGTAACACAAAAGGAATAGTAATAACGAAGAACAACATAGTTTCATTGGAAATTATAAGTCACAAGGAGTGGATGCATCTGCGCCAGCCATTGAGAACGATGAGTTTGAGCCATGTCACCGATTGTCTCCAGCCATTGGTTTTTACCGTCCCGAGGACCCCAACCAGTCAGGAAGTCTACACCTTCCTACGTGGCTTAAACTAACTGTTGTGGATTATTCATTGACTGATGAAGCCATGTTTTGGTTTGACCACCACTAGCTCTTTTCCAGCCTGACCCTATGTCAGCTAACATTGCCTGTCGGTCGAGGAAGGCGATGACTAGGCATACGTAACACATGTCCTAACCATCTCAGTCGATGTAGCTTCACAACCTCGTCGAATGATTTCCCCTCCTAACCTAGAACTCGACCGACGCCTAACCTCAATATTGCTCACCTTATTATACCACTTCACACGGGAGATAAAACGCAGACACCTTTGATCAAAGACAGCTGGCCAGGCTTTGCATGTCTTCCACTCTCAATGGCCAGGCCTCACAGCCATAAAGGAGGACGGAGAGGACTGCTGAGCAGTACACCCGCCCTTTGGTCGATAGCCAGGGATATCACTTCTATGCCAGAGACATATGCTTAAGAAAATACGTGAATATCATTGAATATTACACTATAATACTTAAACATTATAATCAGAGTGCCTCGGTGCAAACTGTTGGGGTTAGTTATTAGTGAGGAATATACACGCCTCATGAGAAGAACAATTTGGAGAGGAGGAGAGAAGACGAGAAGGAGGAGGAGGAGGATATCAATGATTTTTAGTGAACATATTCTTTTATTTATTCGTTATTAGCAACAAGCAAGTGTAGACGAGAGAAAAAACCAACTACTATTATGTAGGACGGGACAAAAGAAAACAAACCATTATTTTAACACCAGATTCATGAATAAATCATAAGTATAAATTTAATTAAATCAATACTTCTTTATATACTTACCATAAAGATTTATTCCGTAGTACTGGAGGCTTGTAACTACGCATGCCAAGAATACGTAATGCTCTATGCACAAATGAAAAACCGTAGAAGAATACATATTTTTTTAAAGAAATATACAATATGTAATTATTTATTATGATAACTAGAATACATATCAATGTGGTTAAGTTAATGGTGACTGATGATAGTGGAGTTTAGGCAAGTGCATTTCTTCCTCCTCTTATTCGAGACTCGCATCCATCCACTGAACTTGTCTGCTCCTCCAATAGACTGATGGTGTTCTTCTCACTAGGTGAAACTCGAACCCAGCACCCCCCACCCCTCATCCTTTCAAACGATGACATAACGCGTTATCTATCAGATCAATGAATAGTCACAGTCACCACTTGTGATCTATCTACTATGCTTGTGCTTTTAGACGACGAGTGCTCCGTTCGAATATCCATGAGGACACTATCACACTCAATAATGATTCAGGTACATCTAGATGACGAGTATCACACAGGACAAAAGCCGTCTTCCTGAATCCTGCTTTATATATATATATATATATATATAGTTGGCCAAGTTAAACTTTAAGCACCACTAACTACCAGTGGAGTGCGACCGCACTAATGATCTTGAAACGCTCACTCAGCAAGTTGGTGAAACCCGGCAAATAATGTTGTCATCATCAATAAAATATGCTCATCGAAGTGTTATGCTATTAAATGGGATATATCTGGCAAGTTTCAGCTTAGGTGTTTGGGAAAGATTAAGTTACGCTTTAAGCCAAGGGTAAATTTAAGGTTAGGTTAACCTAATAAAGGCGACATTAGGGTTGGTTCGAGTTAGATTACAGTGAGTTGAGGGATATTTTCACATTAGGGTTAGGTGCAGGAAAGATCAGAGTTATTGTTAGGGTTAGAAGACCTAAATAATTACATGCATAGAATGTGGTTAAATTACTCTGTTGATATAAGAATAGAACTTGTGCACTGCAGTGGTGGCGTATAATTCCATTGTGGGTAAAATTTATTTTGATAAAGTCTCACAGTGTTATACAGTAATAATTTACTGATGACCACGTTTCGAGCACAATTTATTGCTCAGTAAATATTACTGTATAACACTGTGAGACTTTATCAAAATAAATTTTACCCACAATGGAATTCTACTCTGCTGATACTCCAACCTAAAACTGAGAGCTATTTTTATCAAATGTCAGAGATAGGTATCCTCTGTAACACTTTTATACAGATTTTATGCATTCCATACACAAAAATGCCTCCTTCACGTGATTGGTGCGTTCAAGGTCATTTGCTGATTGGTACTTAGTGGTGCTTAAAGTTTAACTTTGCCACCTAAAGGGGTGTTATCGCAATACTGACCAAGATTCATCGATCAGATATCATCGTCTACTAAATGGAAGCCTCTCAGATTCTAATTTCTCATTATAATGTATCATCTTCTCCAAGTTCATTCACAATCGAAAACCAATGCAAAAAGAAAGCCTTTAATAAAATAGACACTTAATATAGAGAACTGACTGTACATCGGCAATTTAATGATAGAATGCTCATCGTCGCCTCATGTTCCACTCATGAAGCAGCAAGGAATAAACAAAGTTCCTATTACAACACTTCGGTCGGTCGGTTTTCGACATAGAACTTTGCACATATGTGCACCAGTTCAAGTCGCCACACTCCCTCCTTGTAGCACAAAAAGAAGACAAGAAAGTAGGAGAAATGCATAATATAGACAGTAAACAGAGGTGTGAGACAAAGGAATAGTAATAACGAAGAACAAAACAGTTTCATTGGAAATCATAAGTCACAAGGAGTGGATGCATCTGCAACAGCCATTGAGAACGATGAGTTTGAGCCATGTCACCAATTGTTTCCAACCATTGGTTTTTACTGTCCCGAGGACCCCAACCAGTGAGGAAGTCTACACCTTCCTACGTGACTGCTGGCTTAAACTAACTGTTGGAGATTTCATTGACTGGTGCCATGTTTTGATTTGACCGCTGCTAGCTCTTTTCCAGTCTGGCCCTATATCAGTTAACATTGCCCGTCAGTCGAGGAAGGCGATCACTAGGCATACGTAACACATGTCCTAACCATCTCAGTCGATGTAATTTCACAGTCTCGTCGACTGATTTCCCCTCCTTACCTAGCACTCGACGCCTAACAACACTTAGAAAGCATTAAATTGAGCGAAGTTCACGTCAATGCCATATTCACATAGAACAGAAGTTAACGGAGTCCATACGGATTATTAGATAAGTCAATTTGTGCAGTCATCGCCTTTGCTTTGGCTACCTTATTTATTCTTCCCAGAAATGTGAAAATTGACTATTTCTACTCTACCTACCTATGCTGGTTATTACTATTATTATTATTTTAATTATCATACCAATTAACTTACAAATGACTTTTAATTATTCTTGTGTAAAATCGAATTGAATAATTTTTTGGTCATTGTGATTTTTCCAACACATACAGACACTACGACGGACTATGTGATCGCTTGTTGTTTTAATCTTCTTCATAATTTCATTGAGTAATTAATTTATTTCTAAACTATAATTATTGCCTAAATTTTCTTTGTTGTCAGCTACTTAACAACCCCTTTCATATATAATATTGATAAATGATTTCAGGATTTCATTATGAACTGAAATCGGTTGCAGGCTGATCGGAATACCACCTGAAAGAGTACTGGACAACTGGTTCTTTTTTTCTCTCAACCTAGTTTGGAACTATTCAGCAGGTTTTCCAACAGTCCTCTCTGTCTGTCTGGATTCAACATAGAACTTGCCACCGAAGTGCAGCACTTCGAGTTGCCACGTTCCAAATACCACACAAAGGTAGACAAGAAAATGAGTGAAGAGAATCAATAGAGTTTTGACAAGTATAAGAGTGAAACAGAATGAGTAATGGTAGAAAGGAATATGAAAGATTACAGAGACTGAATACATCTGCACTAGCCATTGACAACGATTTTCAGCCATGTCATGTCACCTATTGTCTCCAGCCTATTGATTCTTAGAGTCCCGAGGGCGGGCCCCAACCCGGAAGTCTGCATCTCCCTCCCTACCTGACTCAGTTTAACTGTCAAGGATTTCATGGATTGATGAGGCCATGTTTTTGTTTGGCCACCACCACTTACTCTTTTCCAACCCACAACACCTATATCAGCTAGTAATGCCCGTCCGTCGGGGGCAGGGAGGCGATGGTTAGGCATGCGCAGCACGTCACCTAGCCATCTCAATCTATGTAACTTTATAGCCTCGTCGATTGATTTTCCCTCTTTGCCCAACCAACACTCTACGCCTAACGTCAACATTACTTACCTTATACCTTATACCACCTAACGTGAGAAAGAGATCGTAAACATCTATGATCAAAAACAGTCAACCTTTTCATGTCTTCAACTCGTATTGGCCATGTTTCAGAGCCATAGAGAAGGACGGAGCGAACTGCTGAGCAGTACACACGTCCCTTGGTTGATAGCCGGATGTCACGCCTACGCCAGAGATGGTGTAAGTTAGCGAAAGCAGCTCGAGCTTTTTCGATCCGTGCTGAGATTTCGTCACCAATCAATCAATCCGTTGGTGCTGATACAACTTCCCAAATAGGTGAAGTGGTCAACATGTTCTATCACTTCACTCCCTATCACTATCACTAAGCTAGGGGTAGACGTAGTCCAGTCCTGTAGCAGCATCTTACATTTTACAGGGGCGAATCGCATGCGAAACATACGAAGATTGCTGCTCAAGGTGTTCAGAAGACTCTGCATTTTGTCAGCATCTTCCCCTAACAGGACTATGTCGTCTGCGTATTCTAAGTCTATAAGACTATTCCCTGGTAACAAGTCGATTCCTAAGTCGTTAAGTTCAGTTCAGGATACTTCCATTAGCATATCTATGATGAAGTTAAACAGAAAAGGGGAAAGTGGACATCCTTGACGGACACCACTGGTTGTTATCAATTCAGATGACAATTCCGCATAAGCCGTTACACAGCTACGTGAGTTTGAGTGGAGTGTCTGTCTGTTTTTAGCATGTTAGTGGTTAGAATTTGTCCGGTACATGCTTCTGTGTTTTTTTTTTTAATGAATATTCCCATTATGACAAAGTAAACTTATTGTGTAGAGTTATAAATGTTAGTTTATTTCATCGATTTCTTAGACTGTATATTCCCTCTTTTGAATTTTTTTGTCTTCTGAAGCAACTTTAAGACTGTTAGAGTCTTTGATATATGTGTGACAGTGTCTTTAAATTTTGAGGGTTTAGTCCATGATAAAGATTTAAAATTATTTGAATGTCCCCTTTCGCTGGTTATTGGTCCACTTACTCACCCTGACCTCAAGGTATAGTTGACAGAATAAACTTCTCTCTAAGATGATGGGATTATGATTCGACGAAATGGGATGAAATATCCTGTCACAATTAATTGGATGATTTTTCAATGATAATATCAGAGTGTAACTAAAAGTAGCATTCATGTAATAAAATACTAAATGAAGTAAGCTTTCAGAAGTCCTACCAAGTAGCTGACCGAGAAATCGGATAGTTTGAACTGATTCGGCTCTCTGTGTGCTGACTCAAATCGGTTACATCGCTGATAACCTCGGCCGTGAAACAGACATCCGGTGTTTAGATCACTTTGATCTCGTTAGCAAGCGTATAATACTACTCATTTCAATCAATCAATCAGTAGTATGTAGTTGAAGACATTTGTAGTACTGATATGGTGTTTATTTTTACTTGAACTAATGTGCAGTCTGTGTATGTGAATGATTCTGAAGAAGGGTCACGATATATCTGTTTGGTTCCCTTCTCTACCTGATACCACTTTGTCATGTGTACCTTGTGATCTTATATCTTGGCGTTTTTTATATTACTTTAAAATTCCGTAGGTAATACGTTTTGAGATCTTGTTCAAGTTAACTATTATTATTATTATTATTATTGTTTCCTTTAATTCCTAGAGGAACATAGGGCTCCAGCCAAACGTCTCCATTGCGTTTGGTTCTCTGCTACAGTCTTCACCTGGCTCCATGTCTGCTCACACGTT